ATATGCACACCCATGTTTATTGCTGCTTTGTTCGCAATAACAAAGAGCTGAAAACAACCCAAGTGCCCATCAACAATCGAATGGATAGAGAAGCTGTGGTATATTCACACAACGTAATACTGTGCAGCATTAAAAAGCAAGGAATTCATGAAATATTATGCAAAGTGGATGACTCTAGAGGACATTATGCTGAGTGAAATATCTCAGTCACAAAAGGACAAGTATTGCATAGGGCCATTATTGTAAAACAGGACTGACATTGGGGTTGATGGAAGACAGAGAAGGAGGGTAGGAATCATGTATATGGCATTGAAACAGATGAGGGAGAAAGCTGTTTAAAAGGGATATATGATTGGGTAATATTGTCATGACAGGAGTCCAGAATGAAGGTGGCACAGTGGCGTGGACTTGGGGGGAGGGATTGCATAACAATGAAAGAGTTTTCATTTTTCTTTTCAAGAAGAAGAGTGAATTGATGGGAGAGGGGGTGAGCAGGGGTGAAAGTACAACAATGAATGACTGGAAGCCCTAAATCTCTGTAAACTTTAATTAAAATTAATAAAAATAAATAAATTCTTTTTTAAAAGCTGAAAGTTTCAGAGATATAGATCTCAGATCTCAAACCCATTTTTGTTAGTCAAAGCCAATTCATAGCTGATCCTTCATGGGTTTTTAGGAAATAGTAAATTGCTTGGCAAAGATTGTCCATCTTTCTCCCTTAGAGCTACTAGTGGATTTGAACTACCAGAGAGCGTACTGCCTTTAGATTAGTAAGAGCAACTTACACTTCCTCTGCTTTTTATATTCATTGAGAGGAGGAAAAGAACAGCAAATACTGTTTGTAGTGGACTGAACTACCATTTACATGTTAGGAAACAGCTCGTGAAAACTTTCACAGAACTGAACTGAAAGGAATTGGTAGACTCTTACATACTCTACTTCTTAAATTAGTTTATTTTGGCGAATAGTTTGAAAGAAGAAATTTCCGACATTGACAAAGCCTACCATACCAGCAAAGATCCTACAGAAGTCATCTTGTAGAACTATGGTGCACTGTCTTGTGTGGTGACTTGGCTGCTAATTGAAAAGTTGGCAGTTTGTACTCAAATGATGTTTTCTTCCTGTAAAGATCCTAAAACCTTATGGGCCTAGAAAACCTTAGGGGAAGCTCCCCTCTTGTCATCCATATGACATGAATGGCGATGACCCAACACCTAACAAGACTGTACAGAAGGAGACTGAACCAAACAAGATTACAAAGAAGTGGGCCAGATGTTAGATACATTGTCATTAGTGTTACTATTTCTTTTTTTTTTTTAAGAACAATGGCTCTGAATCTTGCTCTATCCTGAGCCAGCTTCATTTTCTCTAACACATTTGACCCCGCTGCTAGTCTCTGTCAGTCCATTTCATCTGGCATCTTCCTCTCTTGTGCTGACCTTCTACCCTCCCAAGCATGACGTCCTTTTCCAAGAACAGGCCTCTCCTTACAACATGTCCAAAGTTGTAAAATGCAGTTTGAAGATTCTTGCTTCCAAGGAGCAACTTAGTTTCATTCTCTCCAAGCCAGGTCTGTTTATTCTCTTGACAGTCCATGGTGTGTTCAGTGCTCTGCTCTAGCAACTCAAAGTCATTTTCTATCATCCTTAATCACTGTTCAGCTCTCAGTTGCATAACAAGCAAATGAGAAGACCATGGCCTGGACCAGGTGCACCTTGGTCTTTAGACTGGCATCATTGCCCTTTAACATTTGAGAGAAGGCCTTGACGGGAGATTTTTCCTGTGCATTTGGTGTCAGAAGGAGTAGGATTCATTATTTCAGACTCATAGACCCATGGTTTGGTTTTGTGAATGTGGGGCTTGAGAAAATGTACAGTTAAAATATGGTTATTGTTTATTTCTATAAAGGAGGGAGAGATTATGATATAAGGAGTAAAGCAGCTGGCTTACAAGTTTCCCTAAATATAGAGGATGGTAAAGGTGAGCCTTCAGATAATGAGAGGTAATGGCTACGAAAATCCAGAGCATGGGCTGAAATGTTAGCTTAAAAGTTTGCTTTTTTTAAGCCATTATAGTTAGCCCTCTCCGGCCTCAGTGTATGTTTGCAGCTGTTCCTCCTCATTTTTTTATGGCTTCCAATATGAGGACTCAGCTCCGACTTCTACATATTGTATTTTAACAATAACAACTATTGTTCATCGGGTTTTCTAAGGCCTGTTATTTCAGAAGTGGATGGTCAGTCCATCTTCCTGCCCAAAAGAGCAGATGATAGACAAGCAAACATACATGTATCTCAGCTAGTAAGAGCAATACCATGCAAAAATGCTTCCCCAACACAGGAAATTGGCAAATAAATGATAGCTAGCTCTGAGAGCAAACCATCAGGATAAGCAAAAATACAGATACAATGACATGGGTGGCAAGGGTTCTCACATCAAGGCAGCAGTGCAAGGTCCAAAAGGAACTGGAGGTTGCCGGGCCTTATTCAGTGGCAGGTGCATTCTTCCTCCCCCCTAATTCTGTGAGGGAAGTACTTACTATTAATGAAAACTAATTATGGCTTTCTTAGGATTCAACCCTTGCTTTCTGTAGTATAAGCTGGAGAGTGTGTGTGTGTGTGTGTGTGTGTGTGTGTGTGTGTGCGCGCGCGCGCGCACGCGCTAGCCTACTGAGTTCATTAACACAAAAGAACAAATATCCTCACTTCTTGTTAAGCACCTTGAAATTGGACTCCTAGGAAAACATTAGGTAGTGATTAAGACCAAAGCTTAATTTTTTTCTTTTGAAATTTTAACTGCATTGCCTAATATAATCACCATTAGCCACATATGACTATTGAACACATAAAATGTGACTAGTCCATATTCACATGTACCATAAGTGTAAGATTTATACTGAGTCTCTAAGCCTTGAAGGAAGTAATTTCCAGCACTGACACATCTACCATTCCAACAAAGATTCTACAGAAATCACCTTGTAAGACCTTTTAACTTTCAAAAATAGTAAATTCACCTTTCAACCTTTTAGTATGAAAAAGAGAATGTAAATACCTCAGTATATTTTATATTGATTATACATTGGCATATTTTAGATATGTTTGTGTTATGTAAAATACTGAACTTATTATTAAAATATTCCATCCCCTTTGCCCAGTGACTCTTTATCATCAAGTCTATTCTGACTGCCCTGTAGAACTACAGTCTTGTAATCCTCCTTGATGAAGACCACCACAACTTTCTCATGCAGACTGGCTGGTAGGTTTGAACCTATAAACTTTCTGTTCACCGCTGAATACTCAATTATTGTACCACCAGGACATCTTGTTATTAGACATACATTTTATAAACAATAAATAACTTTTTCCTTTTAACTTCATTAATGTGGCTAATAAAATATATACATTTACATTTATGGCCCACACTGTAGTTTTATTGAACAACAGTGGTCTACTAGGTTAAAAAAATCCTTAATTATGAATAAGATATGCTAGATCTCAACTATCCATTTTTAGTCAGTCCTTTTAGAAGCCTGGAGCCCAGTTATTCTTTTGCCCTCTTGAAGGATTCCAGCTGGAAGCAGCTGTTCTTTAAAATTGCCATCCCTCCTGACCAGTAGAAATGATTAGATACATATAGAAAGTGTGAATGGCACTCTGTTGTCATACCATCAGAGGTATGAACTGTGCCTACTATTTTTCTGCTTCCACCATTTACCCTGTTAGCTTTTATGTGATTGTTAATTTGGTTTATGTCATGATAACATAAATTTGGATCAAAGCAGGCATTCAAAGATCCAATTTATTTTTTTCAAAGACTCATGCGGGTGTCAAAGACTTCCATTCATAGGGTAGCTATGAGTCATCAACAACTCGACGGCACTTAACAACAACAACCGCATGTGCAGAACAGTTCATTCAGAAGCAGGGTTTTATGAGGAGGAATGTGGCATTAGGATTGGAGGAACGCTCATTAGCAAATGTACGTTATACAGATAATGCAACCCTGCTTGCTGAAACTGAGGAGGACCTGAAGCGCTTGCTGCAGAAGGTCAAGTACTATAGTCATCAATATGGACTGAAGCTCCACATCAAGAAGACAGAGATTCTCAACACTGGATCAATTGGCAGCACAATGATAGATGGAGAACAGATTGATGTTAACAATCACAGCTTGCTCAGCTCTACAATCAACACTCTGGGCATAATTAGTCAGAAAATCAAAAGACAAATTGTGGTGGAAAAATTTGCTGTCAGAGTGCTGAAAAGCAATGATGTCAGTCTAGAGACTAAGGTGTCCCTAACCCAGGCCATGGTCTTCTCAATTATTTACTATACATCAGAGATCTGGACAATGACTAAGGATAACAGGAAAAAAAAATCAGTACCTCCGAATTGTGATGCTGGAGAAGAGTCTTCAATATACCATGGACTGCCAAGAAAACATGTAAGTCTGTCTTAGGATGAAACGAAGTTTCTCCTTGGAGACTAGGGTTTTGAAGCTCTGTCTCACATACTTTGGGCATGTGTCCAGGAGAGACTGATTCTTGGAGAAGGACATCATGCTCTTTTTTTTTTTCTATTTTATTACTTTTTATTAGGCTTTAAATCTATTTTATTAGGCTTTAAATTTAGGGAGTAAGGGAACTTTTAGGTGCATTGTTGGTTTGCGTTTTGGCAACAGTGCGACTTGATTTATACTGTGCCTTCATGTAATGCATGTCAAGTGTGCCTCTGCTGGGATCTTCCACTGTGTGCCCAACATCCCTGTCTGCTGGTGTCCTCATGTCCCTGTCTGCTGGTGGGTTTTCTGTAGAGCCAGGGACCTTAGCAATATCCTGAGTGTCTGGTGCCGATGCCTATGTCCTTGTGCTGGGTGCATCTGCAGGCCTGTGCCCTTGGGTCCAAGTATATGCCGAGGTGTGCGTGTATAGGCGGAGGGCTGTGTAGATGGGGGTGTCCCTCCCAAACTCTGTCCACTCTGTGCCCTCAGCCCCACAGCCATCTATTTGCACTTGTGCACGTAGTATCCAGTGATGTAGCCCAGAGTGAAGATGGACCAGAAGATCGCCAGTCCACTCACTATCTTCACGACGATGCCCAATTTGCCCGTGCACAGCTTCCTGGAAAGCCTCCTGCAGCTCGAAGCCTCCTCAGTGTTGGACCCGGCCACCACCCTGACTTCGTCAAGGCTGCTGTCCTTCCACCGGATGTATTGGACTCCACTCTCAGGGCACTGCATGCTTCCTTTCACAGGTAATCCTGAACACAGCTGCTTAAAGGCACAGTGGCTCCTGATCTCGCGCCCTCCGTCCCGGCAGCTCCGTGCGCGTCTGGATGAGCCTCCTGGACATCATGCTTGGAAGCATGAATGGACAGCATGGGAAAGGAAAACCCTGGATGAGATGGACTGATGCAGTAACTGGGGCAATGGGGGTTGGTGTGCCAGAATTAGTGAGACTGGCTCTGGACAGGGCAGCGTTCAGAGCTGCTGTACATTAGGTTGCTATGTATCTCAGGCAACTCCATGACACATAACAACTACAACAGCAACAACAGTTTATATATTACTATATAAACTATGATGCACCATAAATAATCATAACTTATATAATTCCTTTAGAACTCTTGTCTAAAATTCCATCAAATCCCTATGCACATCCAAAAACTTCTCCAGTAGGGTAAAAAGGGAAGCCACTGACTGGGAAAAAGTATTCGGTAATAACACATCAGATAAGGGACTTATATCCAGAATTTATGAAATACTTGAGCACCACAACAAGATAAAGGTAAAT